GTGTGACCCGCACAGGGCCAAGAGCTCTGTGAGCATCCGATCCCTYGGGGACGGAGGCCCATCCTCTGCCTCCGGCCTGCGATGGGGCCGATGCTCCTGTTCCCGCCGCCTTGCTCCGCGCGGGGTGAAGCTGCAGGTTCGCAGCGCACGGCCCTGCTCCCCACGCCAGCGCGAGGCCCTGGGGCCGGCGAGGGGACGTCAGCGGGGACGTCAGCGGGCAGGACAGCCCTGCGGGCGCCCCGGCGCCGGCAGCTCCCTCCCCGCCGCCCCGGCTGCCCCGGCGCCCTGCCCSGCGGCACCGCTCGTCACGCAGGAAGCCGGCGCGACGCGTGTGGGCAGGCGGAAAGGCCGAGCCCTCCGAGCAGGGATTGCTCATGCCAGGAGAGCCGGGATGACATCCCTGCCCGCGCAGCCGGCGGTGCGGGACCGCGGGGGCCCTGCGTGCCCTCAGGCCCCGCTCTGCAAGTCCCAGCCAGCCTCGCAAGCCTGCGGATCCATTCAAGACAGGACGAGGCCGCAGAGGTCCGCAGTGGAGCTACTGCTGGAGCAGATGGTCACAGCTCCCAGCTACCCCGGCTTTCCTGGAGAGCAGACGGCTGGCAGGGATGGACGGCTGCGAGGAAGCTGAAGGGCCYGAGATGAGTTTCCAGGTCGCCTGTGGGCATGGAAAGAAGGGGAAAGAGCCTGCCTGGCTCTTCCAGAAAATAAATAAATAAATAAATAAAATCAGCCTCATATTTTTGAGTCTGCAATGCCAAGTCAACCAGAAAACACTCAGGAAATTTATTCCCAGCTGGGTCTTCTCAACAGAGAGGGAAGATCCATGGCACAAGGGGACCAGGCCCTTGGGGACAAGGACACAGGTGCAGAGCGGGATGGAGGAGCCTGGTGGGAGGGCACAGAGGGATAGGCCTGAGCCCGGCAGGAGCACTGAGGCCAGCAAAGAGAACGGGAAGGCACCGTGGGACCCACGGCAGCTCTGTGGCCGCCAGCCCCCGCTCCAAGTTGCCCCGCGCCGGGGCAGCAACGTCAGCCGCTGCGGAGGCGCCTTGGCAGGAGCTGCTCTCCTGGCCACCATCCAGGAGCCCCGTCAGCCTGGAGCGGGASGAGGGCTCAGCACCAGCGCGGGAGCACCGTCCCGCAGCGTTAACCCCTTCCTGCCACCGCCTCTGCACCACAGCCTGCGCTCCCCACAGCTCCCAGCCTCTGTCTTGTGCCCAGGTGTCCATCCAGAAGAAGAGATGAACTCGCTGGACAGTTCACATGGAGWTCAGGTGTTTCCCATGGAGGAAAGGGCCTCAGGCAGGAAGAGCTGATGGCCAGGGAGTTGGGGACGAGCCCAGAGGAGGCATTTCTAAAGGGAAAACCACTAACGGATGGGACTGACGGTCTGCAGAGAAAGCAGATTTGTCCTCCTTAGGATGGCTTAGGACAGGGTAGCAGCCCTGCCTGGCTCTGGGACAGGGAGGGACACACGGATCTGCCCTTGATCCTTCCAGAGAGACCTCCCCACTGTCCACAGTCTCTTGAATCCAGGTGACAGAGCACTGGAATAGGCTGCACAGAGAAGCTGTGAAGTCTCCTTCTCTGGAGATCTTCAAAACCCACCTGGATGTGGCTCTGTGCCACATGCTGTAAGTGTCCCTGCTTGAGCAGGRCGGGTTGGACTTGGTGATCTCTAGAGGTCCCTTCCAACCTCAACCATTCTGCGGATCAGCAGCAATGCCACAAAAAGCTCCTGGCTCCAGGTTTCCATGCAATTACCCTCTGCGGTTCTGAGGAGCATCTTCCCCAGGCAGATCCTGTGCACCAGCTGAGCCCTAGCCCAGGCCCAGGAGGGCACGGCCAAGCACCTCTGCCCCAGGACAGCCCCAGCTGCAGCAACATGGGCCAGCCCAACAGAGATTCCCTGCAGCCAGTTCAACAGTGCCAGAAAGGCTTGGTGTCTTCTTCCTACCCTGTGTTTCTACAAGTGCAAAGAATTATCTTGCTGTTCTACCTCTTTTACCTGTGTTATTACTCACTCACCTGTGTGTCATTCACTTCTACCCCATCAGCAATCAGCTGTCTCCGTGCCCAGGAGATAAGGGCAGGCACCTGYGTGGCTCCTCACCACATCACCCAGTGCAGCAGCCTCGGGAGGCCTCGGGGAGGCTTTGCCGACCCCCAGCTGGGTTAGGAGCTGGCACTGCCCGCCCCAAGAGAGACGGGGCTTGGCACCCACTGCCYTGGAGTTCACCTTGTTCCTGCCCTGGAGACACAAGGGCAAAAGCAGGGAGCGAACGTGGCTTCTCCCAGGCATTGAGTCAGTCTGGGCAGGAGCACACGTGCTAACAGGATCAGAAAGTTCAAGGGCTCCCAGAGACGTGGGAAAGGCACCTGTGGTACCATGGGGGCGCGATTCGGAGCTGCTGTCTCCACGGCAGAGCCTGGCTGCCTTTGAGGGAGATAAGCTGCACTGAGAGCTGCCTGGAGCCTCAGCACGAAGGGCACGAGACGCAGATTTCCGTGCAGGGCGCGCGGGCGTCCAGGCACCGCGCAGGGCAGCGGCTCCAGCGCGGAAGGGGCACCATGAGAGACCGCGGGCAGCAGCGCAGAGCCCTTCCAGCACCCCCAGCAAAGGAGCAGGGCAGGCCAGGGACAGCCCTGGGTGGCAATGGGCCAAGGCCAGGCTGGGACATCGCTCTTGGGGTTGACACCTTCCCCACTTTAGATCCAAACAGACCCCAACTGCAGACATCATCTGCAAACAGGGATAACCTGTCCCCAGTTACGGGACCAGGCCAGGACCAGCCCATCTGGAAGGAGCGGCTCTGAGCTACCCTGTTCATCAGCCTGCCCACATCCCATGCTCTTAGATCTGACTAGTTTTTAATTTGGGTCAGTTGTTGAAATCCAACACTGCAAAAATACCCTAAGAGCCCCCAGCAGGGTGGTTTTCCCAGCCCAAGCAAGCCTGGGAAGGTGCTCCCTTCAAAATGAAGTGGAGGCCCAAGCACTTTCAGTCTGGGATACACCAAGCCTGGCAAGGCTCACAGCACCAGCTTTGCTCATCTCCTTAGGCTGGTGAGGAAGGTCTAAGTCCTTTCCCAGGAACTCATAAAAGCCAGGAATGAGCAATGAAAGGCGATAGGAGCAGCCAGGCTGTTTGCAGGCAGGGCAGCGATGCCAGCGAATGTGAGTCAGCAAACACCTGCGCAGCAGGATGCGGCCACCGAGCCCTGYGCCCGCCTCGTCCTGCATCCCGACGGTAGGAGCTGTCGGGAAACACCAGCGCTGGGAAGACGTTTTCTCCCTGCCGTGCCTCAGTTTCCCACCACCGTGGCACACAGGCACGTGCCTGGGGCCGGGGCTCTGCGCAGGGCTCAGAAACGCTTGTGCTGTTCCCAAGGCCAGCGCTTCCCTGAGCTACAAGCACAAGTCTCAGGCCTCGGTGTCCCGAGGTGGGATTACAGCTCGTGGGTTTTGGAGAAGGCTTTGGAGAGTCAACCCCGAGCAACCTGGCCCAAAGCACCGTCATGGCCAGGCACCCTGAGGTTGCTCTGATGGACCCTCATGGGGAGTCAGAGAGCCTGGGCAGGGGCCAGGGACCCAGCAAGGAAGCAGCAGGGCTGTATGGGGCACCAGGACTGGATCTGCAGCAAAAGCCACCTCTGCTGCCCTGCCAGGGTACCCAGGCAGGCCCGGCCGCAGGAGGAGGAGGAGGAGGAGGAGGAAGGCGCTTGGAGGCTGCAGAAGGCACCTGCCAGGCTGAGCTTCCCTACAGGGAACTGCCCCACGCTGACCTTTGGCAGGGATCCCAGTACTGGCAAAGCAAACACTTTATTCCCTCCTGCAGGAGATGGGGAAACTGAGGCACGGGCACAACCTGCACTTGTCACCAGCAGCACAAGGGCGATAGACGCACGGGCTGTGGGAGGACGAGTGGCTCCTCCCGGGTGTCTTTTCCCAGGGATCATCCCTCCCTCGGCTCCACAGCCCCAGCGGTACCACCAACCCCTGGGCAAGGATCACGTTCCTGGAAAGCAGCAGCGCCGCCACGGGCACCGTCCTCCTCGCGGGGCCGTCGCCGCTGCCCACGTGCCGGAGGGCGCGTGGGCAGCGGCAACGGCCCCGCGAGGAGGACGGCGCCCGGCCCTCGCAGCACCCACATTGCCAGGACACAATTGCAGAGAGCCCTTCTCCATCCCTCCTTCTCCGAAGCCCTCCTGGTCCCTGTCGAAACCATCCCAGTGCTGGGACAGGACCTGAAAACCGGGACTGTGGATGGAGCCCTTGGTGGTACCAGGCCGCCCGGTGCCCCGCGAAAGCAGGTCACACAGCGGGGCCACCACAGCTCCTTTCAATGTTATTCCCATGTAGAAAAGAAAAGGCCAAACGGTTTTGTACAAATATCACAGCTCCAKAGTTGAAAATTTCATGGTTTAAAATTAAAAAAAAAAAAGTGGGAGGATAGAGAAGGCAAACCAAACTGCACCCGCACACACACACACGGCCCCGCGGCACCTCGAGGCGAATCCGCAGCCATCGTGGGGACCCTGGGACATGGGAAGCGGCAGCCCTGAGGCCTCCCTGCTRCTGCAGCATGAGGGAAACACGAGCCCAGCCCCTCTGCAGCCTCCAGGTGAGCGGCAGAAGGGGTCCCGCACACCCAGGTACCCCCCTGTGCAGGGGCTGTGTCCCGCAGCATCCCGCAGCCCCTAGGGACGGGGGCACTGTGTCCCAGCGCCGGCTGGGGGCGGGAAGCAGAGTGGGGAGGAAAGGGAGGCCCTCGGGATGCCCTGGAGGGCAGGGGGCTCTGCACGCCCCACGCTCAGCGCCTGCAGGGCCCAGCCCCACGCACTAGGACAGGGGCACAGGCCCCCCGGCATCCCCCCAGCCAGGCCGCCCCCCCGTCCAAACCCACACGAGAGGGCGTCTCGCTCCCAATAAGCGGTCAGGGAGGGGGCACCCCCAAAATCATAATAATTACCCTTAAAAAGAAAAGCGCCGGGCCACAGTCTGTATCAAGGCTGCTGTCTTTTTAAGTTAGAAATGGTTCCTCTGTCCAGAGTCTTCAAAAACTGAGACCTAGCCGCCCCTGCCCTCCCTTTCCCACCCCCCCGCCCCTTAAAATTCATTAAAATCACAGTTCCATGTTCCGCAAAGTTTCCCTTTTTTGTTGGTGGGTTCTCGGTTGTCTTTTTCCTCCCTTCTTGCCTTTTCTCCTCTTCCTCAGCCCTCCTGCCCGCCGTCAGCGCGGGCTGTGAAGGCCGGTGTGGGCACGGGGACGCAGAAGGAGGCGCCGGGAGCCCCTTCTCCCGGGCATCYAGGTGGCTTGGGACAAGGTGAGGAAGGGGGACACGCAGGGGACAGCAGTGGGCTGGGGAGGGGGAGCCAGCATCTTTCTGAGGGTACCATGGGCAAAGCGCTACAGTGCGGAGCGATCCCAGATCCCGTCCTGCCTTCGCTGTCGCTGCCGGGGCTCCATCGTTTTGCCAGCCAGGCAAGGGTGCATCCACGAGGAACAAGAGCGGAGCAGCTTTGCGTGTGGGGAAGAGCCCTAAGCACACACGTGCATCTCCAAGCACACGCGGAGCTGGGCTGACGTCCAGAGGCAGCTGCTGGATGAATCCATGGGAAATTGAGGAGGCGCCTCCCGATGTTGAAAGGAGGGAGGAGAAGTCCAGGAAGAGGAAGAAACAGGAGCAAGGAGGATGAGTCTGGAAACCATCTTTTTTTTTCTTTACATCTTGCACCTGTGGAGGGGGGCAGCTCCGCTCCCGGCGCGGCGCTGGGGGCCTCGCTGCTCCCGTGCCCTGCAGTCCTGGCGCTGCGTGTGGAGCAGCGGGGAGCACCCCCTTGTGCCAAGCGGCGCGCCTCGGGGCCTCGCTCCTCACATCATGATGTGCCGCCGGCGGTGCAGGGCCAGGTGGTCGGAGCGCGAGAAGCTGCGGTCACAGTCCGAGCAGCGGAAGGGCTTGATGCCCGTGTGCTTGCGGAAATGCCGGGTGAGCTCGTCGGAGCGGGCGAACTTCCAGGTGCAGCCTTCCCAGGTGCACTTGTAGGGCTTCTCGCCTGCACGGGGGGAGCAGAGCGAGCAGTGAGCACCACAAGGGACACGCAACGGAGCCGTGAGCTCAGCGGGGCGCTGAACGTACAGCCAAAGCCTCACAGAGGATGACAGGCTGCACTCGGTGTATTAAGGAACCACAACACAAGCACTTAAGCCAGGCTTCTCTAGGCACTTGTACTGGTTTCTCACGTTCCTGTAGTGCCCCCAGGTGGACGAGCGCTGCTTGCAGGTGGAAGGTGGCATCTCGCCCTGGATTGAGCACGTGCCCACTAGGTTCACCGGGGTTGCCCCCTGTCACAGCGGGCGGCACACGGGGCTCAGCGGTGCCAGGGCTGCCCATGCTGCGCTCACCCAGCGGTGCCCGCCGGGCCATCGGGGCAGTGCCACGTGTCGGGGCAGCACTAGGTGCGCTCCGGTGCCACGGCGAGGAAAAGGAAAAGCACCGGCCGCCCCCTGGCGTCCCGGCTACGAGGTGCACCACGGCAGCGCRCCGGGGAGGTGGAGCCTGTTAGGATCACCAAGGCAGTGCCTCGAGCAAGCAGTGCTCGTGCCTCAGGTGCACTGGGTGAATTAGGGTAGTGCCAGGTGCGGGGACGCCCAGTGCATTTAGCCACGTGTGTTAAGGGCGCTGTGGCCTTGTCCSCAGTGCCCCTCGGTGTCCCATCTGCACACAGGCCCCGGGCTCCAGCGCTGGGGGCAGGAATGGGGCCACCCCAGTGCCCTCCTACCCCATGATGCAGCCCCCAACTGGGGGCACCCAAGAGGGGCAGAAGGACCCGAGAGCTCAAGGGCAGGGGGAGCCCGGAATCCCTCCCCGAGGGCAGACAAACCCCCTGGCACTGGGTGCCAGGCATCTCACTCTGCCACAGTGAGAGCGCAGGCTGTGCAGCATCATTGCCACCTAGTGGCCAGTGGCACCTAGTGTCACCCAGGGGTGTCCCCAGCCCAGAAGGGCTCTGCACACCCCACTGGCTAAGGGGGCCCTGGCACCCCCGCCCAGGCGGGAGCCGGGGGGCGGCGGGGCGCCCCGTGGCGCTCACTCACCCGTACCTGTGTGTATCCGCCGGTGGGCCTTGAGGTGGGAGCTCTTGGTGTAGACCTTATTGCAGCCCTCGAAGTCGCACTGGTGGATGCGCCGCTTCTTCAGGTCCGGAGAGTCCGCCCGCTGCATCCGCGCCACGGCCGACCTGCGCGGGGACGGAGGGAGGGCGGGCATGGCCGGGCGTCCCTCTGCTGGGACACGCAGCCGGCCGGGAAGGGGCTCGGGAAGGGCACGTGGCAGACACCAGCCCGCCACCCTCTGTGCACTCACTCTCGCTGCAGGTCCTGGAAGGGCGCCGGGCCGCTCTCCGACACGCTGTCCTCGCTGTCACTGTTCATGTCCATGGGGTACATGGAGCTGGGATCGATTTTCACTGGGGGTGCGGAGGGGAAAGAAAAGCCTTTGAGAAATGAGAGTAGATGGGGGTGAGGGCTGCAAGTTGAGCACAACCGTCCCCAAGCACAGCACTCACCGCACAGCTCCTCTCCCGCGGGACCCTGCAGGCAGCTGCTTCCCCCGACAGCCCCCAGCCGAAGCACGAACAAAACAAAACCAGGCTGGGGACACGGGCAGTGCGCTGCCTACAGTGTGCTGCCAACATGCCCATGTTTTCAGGACACAGAGGGGGAAAGACCCCGGAGCAAGCGCAGCTCAGGGTGCTGCCCGCAGCCTGGCCTCCATCCCCAGCAGGACGGGGGCATTTGGGGCAGCAGCCCCAGCCCGCTGCACCTTCACCCACTGTTGCGGGCTGCCTCCCTTCAGCCGCCTGCCCCTCTGCTGCCACCCTRTTCCCAGAGGAGCAGAGATCCAGGCCAGGCCCCCTGATAAGGGTGCTTCTCATGGCAAGAAGCTGGAATTATCCTGGGGGAGATGGGGAGCAGGGGGAGGCAGTTGAGCTGCGCCCAGAGCTGCTCCAAAGGAGCAAGTAAAGGGTCCCTGCAAAGCAGCAGGGCAGTGGGCAGGCAGCACCAGCCCTCCCTGTGGCCCTGCCAAGCTGGCACTCAGGGATGTGGGGACAGACCTCGGGGCTCCCGCTCTGCGCACTCGAGACGAGCCCTGCCACCCTCCTGGCCCACATCTGCACCAGATGCCCCACACCTCCCCGTGCCACCCACCACTGCATGACAAGCAGTGCCCCCAAAGCGCCCGCCGCGTCCTACCCGAGCCGGCGTTCTTGCCGTCGCCGCCGATGAGCGGGACGGTGATAGCGGTCACGCCGTCCGTGGGCATGGTGGTGTAGACCACGGGCAGGGACTGCACCACCACGGGGATAGTCTGTAGATTGCCCATCTTGCTGGGCAGGTTGACGGAGGGGATGGTGTGGATGACGTGGAGGATCTGCTGCCCGCCGCTGCCCTGCGTGGACGCCAGGATGGAGCCGGGGGACAGCACGGCCGGGATGGCGGAGGTGGAGCTCAGGCCCGAGGGCGAGATGGACACGGTGGGCGCCGGGATGGGGGGGGCCACCAGCATGGGCGAGGACTGCACGGAGGCGGCGGGCGGCGGCGCCGCCGGCACCAGCGGCTTGGACTTGTTGAGCGACAGGTCCACGGGTTCGGCCTGCGGCTGGCTGCAGTCGCTGGCCAGCAGCTCCTCGGGGGGCTCCGTTTTGATGTCCGAGAGCAGCACGGGCGGCTCAATGGGGCCCTCGGCCAGCAGCGAYGACGAGCTCATCTTGGGGGCCGTTTTGGCGAGGCCCGACCCGCCAGCCTGCGAGRGGACATGAGGAGAAAGGCCGTGAGAAAAGAGGGAAGAGGCCGCGGGCACGGAGCCGCTCGGAGACCCCCGACGGCCGCGCCGCCCCGCGGGACTCGCTCCCGACGGCCGCGCCGCCCGGCGCCACAGGACTCGCTCCCGACAGCCGCGCCGCGGGACTCGCTCTGCTCCGGCAGCCCGGACAGGGAAGCGCGGAGAGCAGGATGGACAGACCCCCACGCGCCCCCACCCCACCCCGCCCACGCGGTGCTAAGGAGCTGCTGAGCGGTTATCAGGCAGCCCCGCGCGGGGGGCGCAGCCGGGCGCATCCCGCCCCACGCCCTGGGAGAGGCCCCGTCCGGCCGGCCCTGCCCAGCGGGAGGCCGGTGCCGGGGCGCAC